GCAACTTGGTCTTGTTGTCAGGGTGACTATGTAGAACGCACCTAGTCTGAAGTCGTCTGCCATAGTAGTTATCATAATTCCCAGTATCAGACCGTGGACTTGGTAACTAAACTTCATTATCGAAGATATGAAGACCAAGCTGATGTGGCCTCCGGTATGGTGGCAGGTTGTAGTTTGGTTTGGAGAATGGCAGCACTCACTGATGATGTCGACCACGAGGCCGGTGAAACGTTTGAGAATGTACCAAGTCCACCGTCTGATGCTGTGAATCATGACAACTACTATGGCGGACGACTTCAGGTTAGGTGCGTTCTACTACGTCGCCCTGACAACAAGACCAAGTTGCGACAACGAGGTCAACCCACTTCAATGTAGTCAATCGTTATAGCAAAAATACGTTTTCTTCATCGACATTCGCACCAAAAGACCGGGTCTTCCTTGAAATTGACATCTGCCCTGTGATCCAAGAGCACTCGTGGCCGAGTAGTTAACGTGTCAAGCTCACATGCTGTACTAACATTGCTCGACTCTTGCCGAGGGTTTTGACAAGACCTATGCGAAGTCGAAAGTGGAGTCCACTTCTGTCTGGATGATAGCAAAGTTTGGGAAAGCAAATCTATGTGAAATTCAGTGGTAACGTCAGTTCTACTCATATCATTGTGGAAAAATTCTACTACCAGTCCTTCGTCACCTTAAACGAAATAGGGTGAATACATCTCATATACATGAGATGTAAGGTTATAAGTGTAAAAGTCAGATTACGAAACCACTCGTCCTAACCTATTAAGCTAGGACCATTAAAGTTTAACGACCCAAGGAAGGGCATGACTAAGGCTGAGTAATCTGGTACGTCTTGTTTGGTTGATCAGCTTAATCCGACATGTCGGACGAGTGTGAGTGAAAAGAATCTGGGTCTCAAAGAATCCCTTAGCAGATTGATACTGGCATACCTTTCATTTCGTATATGAAGGCCATTACATGATGGATGAAAGCTCAACACCAAGTCATCGTGGTCATAGAACAGTGAGCCGAGGTTTATTTCGCACAATTCAGCAGAAAAAAGTCCAAGGCAACCCTCCTTCGGTATCCGTTGAGGCTGATCTACGAATCCCTTCCACCCGTCTTCTCAAACGGAATGAAAGTTACGAGTTTGGTTGCAATTAGCACCATCACTAACGAACAAGTTGACTCCTCTTCTTTCGGATGGCGGCTCAACACTCTCTCGCTCTCCTTTAATCTATCCATCAAGCATAAGTTGTTCCTACTCAACTTTCTTTCACCATTCCTAGCATTGAGTGAATTCACTAGTCTATTAATTTCAATTCTCTTTTTAACAGCAGACGTAGCATTCTATCTCATGTCCAATCTCTGATCTACGCGTTAGTCCACTTCTGACCGTTGGACCCAGTTCCATTTACAAGCAATGTTGTGTTCCGTTCGTTGAAGTACAGTGGGAGTCAGCTGTCGCCTTTTTGTGAGATCACCCAACGAATCTCTTATTCATGCACTTTAGTATGAAATAAAGGTCTTCTCAACAATGCTATC